CAATGCTCATTCATATACAGTACATTTAAAAATAACTGTGAAAGAAAGTAATTCTTTTACATCTTCAGGTTCTAACATAGTCTTCTCTTTCAACCTGCCTACCACAACCCAAGGCAGATATTCCTCCTTAAGGATAGTGCTAGAGATGTATGGCAACTTAATATTTGCCCATCTGCCATGGCTCATTAATGAATTCACACATGAACTAGTGCATTCTCTTTTTTCATTTCAGGCTGTTAGTGCTCCTCTAGTGTGTTTGTCCATTATAGGTTGCTAAGCAATCATCCTAGTGCTTGCTTTGTCCCCATTGAAACACAGAATGGAAGTAAACATGTGTTGGGTTACAACTCCAGTCAAACACTTCTCTCTTAGAGCCATAAACCAAGAAAAGAAAAAGAGAAATAGCAATAGCAAGGTCAATAAATCAGGATTCTGAACAAGGCTATCTGAAGCTGTCTTTTGACTGAGTACACTCTGAATTCAAGGATCACAAATTATAATACTACCTCAAGGGTGAATTAGTTCACAGATCTAATTAAATACGGTTTTAAACAGGTACTTTCTGTTTCTTTTGTTTTTGTTTTGTTTGGTTTGGTTTGGTTAGCAAGTCTATCCTTGGATAGACCTGAACCTTTTACAGATTGAATTGATTTACTTACACATCCACTCAATAAAAAATGATTGATTTCTATGTGCTAGCACTATGCTAATCACCGGAATTTTTTTTTTTTTTTAGGATTGTCTTCTTAAACTCTTTCTAGAATTAAGAGCCTTTTAAGCTTCACCCCCATCTTCTAACATACAAAGACCTATTAAAGCACTACAGGCATAAATGCTTCCAACTAAATAGTAGGGACACAAAAGAATTTCATTTTCATATTTTGAAAGGTCTGGCCTTTCAAAGTGACTTTTATCATTTCCTGTACTTAGCGCATGGCCCACTGCTGAGCATAGCCTCAGTGCAAAATCTATTTAAGTACATAATAGGAATGAATTATACTCCATGTTATAATAAGCCTTAGCAGGATTTTTCTTCACAAGGAGGCATGTAACATTAGTGGGACTGGCTGCCGATTAAACTGGTAAAAATTGACCCAGCAGGGCTACTCAACAAGCTGTATGATGTTCTTTTGAAACACAGGCCCTGTTTGAAATTCAGCATCCTTGTCCTTATTGTCAGGATTTCTTAACATTTGTCCATAATGTAGAATGACTGCTATAAAATAAGGACACGAAGCATTACTAAACAGTATTGAAATTAAAAGCGAATGGCTATAGAAAAAAGCCATCTTGGGGCAGCAGGTGGCACAGAGGTTGAGGCTACTGGATCCCACATGGCTGACTGCATGATTCAAGTCCTGGACCCAACAGCTTAAAATTCATGCCAAGTATGTGTGCCCCGAATCCTGAGAGGAGAATGGAGAAAAGGGGAACCATCTCCTCTGGGTGGTACTTTCCTCCCTCACCCCCCACCCCGTGTTTCTCTCTGGCAAGTGCATGCGCTCTACAGCAAATTAATAGAAAAAAGAAAAAGAAAAAGGCAGACTCCGGGGTCAGCATATAGAGTGATGGTTCAGGGCGCTAGACTCCCACATGGCTGACCATGGTTTGAGTCCCAGACCTGATGGCTTGCTTTCTCACTTTACATCTCTGTTGCTCTCTCTCACACTCTGTCCCTCTCTGGTCAGATTGAAATAAATAAATAAAATAAAATAATTCTTTTTTTAAAAAAAGACATATTCCTACAAAACTTTGTTAATATTAGATCTGTGTAATAAGAAAAGATCTGAGCAAAATTAATAAATTTTTAAAAATTTTGAAAATACAAGTTAGGCTGATGGCCTGAAAAGTAGAACAATGAAGGTAAAGAAATGACGAATTGATATGGTACATTTAATACAGTGTTTTCTATGCAAAAGTATGTATTTGAGTGTATTTTGATAACTGCTTGGCAAGTAACATGACTTTAATGTTGACATACATAAAAGGACAAAGATGCTTCCTTTGACATGTTGAAACTGCAATAAAGTTCCTCTTCTCACTTCTTTTTTTAAGTTTATTTACTCATTTCATCTGACAGAAAGAGAAGTACCTCCCAAAGAGTCTTTATGCCATGATCTGCCCCTAACCTAAGTCAACCCAGATCACAGGCATGCACACATGTGCCCAGCATGTGCAGAATGGCCTTGGGATACAATCCCAGGACCTTCCCATGTGGATCCAGTTGCATTTTGCTGCACCACTGTCTGGCCCATCCCACTTTTTATATGCACACATACGCTCTCAGGAAAAGGGATTCATAATACAAGATTTAACAGTGACTGTTCAGCCCAGCTGCAGTGGTGCAGACAATAGCACACTGATCTGCAGTGCTGGAAGCCACATGACTGACTGTGGGTTTGGATCCTGAGTTAATCTGAAACATGCAGGGTATCTGTGCATCCAAGGTCTTAACTAACTTGAGGCCTGAGGGAAGGGGATTATGTGGTTATGAGACCCTGTTGAGGATGTCTCTCTCGATTTTTTGGGGGAGAGTTTTTCTTTTTTTTCTTTTTTACTATAGGGCACGTGTGCTCACCAGAAAGAGAGAGAGACAGACAGACAAAAAATGAGAAATTACCCTCGGTGGGATGGCCACATCACAATCCCTTCTCCTCCATTCTCCTCTAGGGATCTTGGGTACACATGCACACGTGCCTGGTGTGAGTTGAAGCCACTGGGTCGGGGACTTGAACCATGGTCGAGTACACGGGAGTCCAGCAACATAGCCATTACACTCACTACTGGTCCCCCCTCTCTCTTTTTCACTCTCTTTCATCCTCTTTCTCCCTGTCACACAAAAGAAAAAAAAAGAGTAGTAATGACTGTCCACTAAATAAATAAGTACACAGAATGTTTTCTGGGAAGGCAATAAATTATGTGATAGAATAAATTTATGAAGTTATGTAGGCACGATGGCCATAAAGTAATTAAAGTGAACATCTGATTAAATTTATAACAAATTACTCAGATCACAATGCTGGTTGGCACATTTAAAAATCAGTTATTTTATAAATCTGGCCCAAGTTATTAAGGTTAAGGTCCGGTATACACATATGGAGTACTGATGGGAAGGAAGAGTTGGGGTGAGGAGAAAGTAAATCAGGCAACTGGGGGTTAAAGGCAGGTGGAGGGAGACATGTAAGGACTTGGCAGGAAGAAAAATGTTAAAAGTCACTGAAGTTGTGAAAATAGCACCAAGTTGGGAGTAATGGTAACGTCATTGGACTCCCGTGTAGTCCACCACGGTTCTAGTCCCAGATACAGTGGCTTGAAACTCATGCCAGACGCATGTGCGTGCATGCCCCAAATCCTGAGAGGACAATGGAGGAGAAGGAATTGTAGCATGGCCATCATCCGTGGGGGGTGATTTGTTGCTTTCTGTCTCTTTGATCTCTCTCTGTCTCTCTGGTGAGTGCACACACCCTATAGCAAAAATCTCTCTGAGAAATAAATAAATAAAATAGCATTAAGTTTACAAGAAAGGCAAAATAAGTGTCAGAAAGTTTTTTTTTAAGAGAGATTTTCTGCTATAGGGCATGTGCGCTTGCCAGAGAGACAGAAAGTGAGAAATCACTCATCGGGGGGATGGCCATGCCGCAATCCTTCTCCATTCTCCTCTCAGGATCTTGGGCATGCACTCACACATGTCCAGGTTGAACTGCAATCAACTACGTCGCTGCGACATAACCATTATGCCATTTGCTGGTCCCCAGAAAGGTTTGATTCTTAATGTCTATGTATTATCACAATGTGTATTAAGAAGAAGAAACACCAAATTGTTAATTGGCTTAAGAAAAATACTTAGAAAAAAAGTACTAAAAAGTCGTAATAGTGGGACCAGCAGATGGCCTAATAGTTAGTTGACCTCAGTTGACTGCAGGGACTCCAGGTCGAGTCTCGGACCTGGTGACTTAAAACTCATGACCTGGTGACCTAAAACTCATGCTGGGAGCATGTGCCTGCATGCCCAAGATCCCAAGAGAAGAATGGAGAAGGAATTTCGGCATGGCCATCCCCCTCAGGAGTGATTTCTCACTTTCAGTCTCTCTTGTCTTTTTAGCAAGTGCATGTGCCTTATAGCAAAAAATATCTCTCTCTCAAAAAAAGTTATAATAGCATCTATACAGTAATTAATAGTTTAGAGAACCCTTTAATAATTGTTATTATGGGACCACCAGGTGGCGTGGTAGTTAAGATGCTAGACTCCCACATGGTTGACTGCAGTTCTAGTCCTGGACTTAGTGGCTTGTTTTCTCACTTTCTCTCTCTCTCTGGCCAAATTAAAATAATAATAATAAATAAAACAATTATTTAAAAATTATTCATTGTAATTCAGCTTAGACAAGCCTAGCACATACAATACTAAACACTTGATATTCATAAATTAAATCAAAGGGAATTTATAGTGAAATTTTAAATACTATAAGGAATTTCTGTTGGTACAGGATTTTACTAACTTCTGGAAGAAGGAGAACTATAATGAACAAGGTGAATGTCTTACTCGCTTACTTATTGTCTTTTTGGTTCTGTAAATTTTCTATCTGCATTATTACATGGAACTTGGGTTAAGGATAGCAATATGACTCAAATTTTGGATCGAATATTAAATATGTGGTCAAGTAGAGGAGTGAAAAAATAAATAAACAGGGCCAAGAACTGTAAGTAAACCAAACTACTAGAATTCTTCATTTTATTTTTATATTAATGGGTTACTGCTAGATGTCAGTCAGCTCTCTTAGCTACATTTTCTCTTTAATTAAGTAAAGGATGAATAGCCATAAAGCTGCCTCAAAAATATTAATAGGTGAAAGGAATACATTTTAAACTATTTCCTAAATTGCATTTAAAATACCCTGTGATTATATTTTTAAAATGTAAAATCTTGGAGAATGCATTCCCAATAAAAATTGATTGCCAGTTTTAGATTCCGTCATGTAGGTGAAAGGCTAGTTCTCTACCTTGGGATTTGATTTCAGCTGTCGCTTCTTCTGCCACATCATTGCTGGTCTCTATGATAGAATCGTCTGGTATAGTCTGTGAACTCTTTGAAAAGTGAAAAGAAACACCAATTTTAAAATGACTTCTTTTTCTCAAAGGTACATCAACCCTCAAGGGGAGTTCATTGCTTTGTAAGGGTCATCAAACACTCCTATTTGCTTTTTCTAGGATTTAATGCTGTCTAATAGAGAAGCAAAGCAATAGCATGGCAGTGAGGTTACCCTATAAACTGGTGGTTACTGTACTTTGGGCAATAATTCTGATTTTAGAAAGCAAGCTTTATTGGGGCCAGCAGGTGGCATGATGGTTAAGGGTGCTGGACTCCCACATGGTTGACCATGGTTTGAGTCCTGGACCTGGCAGCTTGCTTTATCATTTCCTCTCTCTCTTTCTCTTTCTTTCTGTCCTTCTCCGGTCAAATTAAAATAAATTTTAAAAATAATAAAATAATTTTTGAGAGGTTTTTGCTATAGGGAGTGTGTGCTCACTAGAAAGGCAGAGAGAGAGAGAGACAGAAAGCGAGAAATCACCCCCCAGGGGGGATGGCCACACTGCAATCCCTTCTCCTCCATTCTCCTCTCGGGATCTTAGGCATACACGCACACGCACACGCACCCGGTGTGAGTTTAAGCCACCGGGTCTGGGACGCGAACTGTGGTTGACTACGTGGGAGTCCAGTGATATAGCCATTATGCTAACTGCTGGTCCTAAAAATAATAATTTTTTTTAAAAAAGAAAGAAATCTTTATTTATCTGTAATTTATAATAGCTCTTCACACGTAATTTACTTATCCATAGAAGCTTCCTGCAACTGACTCAAATGAGTCAGCTTAATAACTAACATGAGGGACCAGCAGTTAGTTGGTATAATGGCTATGTCACTGGACTCCTAGGTAGTTGTCTGCAGTTTGAATTCCTGACTTAGTGGCTTAAACTCATGCCAGGCGTTGTGTGTCTAAGATCCTGAGAGGAGAATGGAGAAGGGATTGCGGCGTGGCCATCCTCCCTGAGAGGTGATTTCTCGCTTTCTATCTCTCTGTCTTTCTGGTGAGTGCATGTGCCCTATAGCAAAAACTTCTCTCTCAAAAAAAAAATTAAAATGAATCTTCCCTTTTCCATTTACCATTTTGCTTATCTTTTTGAATACCCACACCTTTTCTTTTCCTTCTTCTTAAGAAAATTATTTTTGGTGACGGCAGGTGGTGTGGTGGTTAAGGGTGCTGGACTCCCACGTGGCAGACTGCATAAATAAATAAATAAAGTTAAAATAATTCTTATTTACTTATGTATTTATTGGGGAGGTTTTTGCTATAGGGTGTGTGCATTAGCTAGAAAGACAAAGAGAGACAGAAAGCGAGAAATCACCCCCCCAGGATGACCATGCCACAATCCCTTCTCCTCCACTCTCCTCTCGGGATCCCGGGCACGCACACACACATGCCTGGCATGAGTTTAAGCCATCGGGTCCGGGACTCAAACCACGGTTGACTACAAGGGAGTCCAGTGATGTAGCCATTACACCATCTGCTGGCTCCATAAATAAAATAATTCTTAAAAAAAAGAAAGTTTTTTTTTTTTTTTTAGCTTACTCCAAAGCATTAATATCTGATTATTCATGACAAGTCTACCTTAAGAGGCTCTTTCAGTTCAACTGAGTCCTTTTTTCTTCCTTTGTCTTCGTTTCCATTTTCCTGAAATGGAAACAGTGTTAGTAAGAGCTAACCAAAGGGAGATGAGGATTAAACCAATATTTTGTACTCTAGCATAGCAAGCTTTTTACTTAAAAGCAGTTCACATAATGAGTAAATATCACATCAGATAAAATTACACAACGTAGTTGTATCAATAAACTCAAACAAGACTTGTTACAATTAAGGAATGCCAACTGACTAGAAACAGGTCACTGTCACCCAACTATTATTCTGACACCTTTTTCCTGTCAAAGGAAAGCATTTCTGTCAAAACCTTGTGCAGAATATTTCAAATAAAAAGAAAACTAATGAAGTGATAGACTATGGTATCGCATCTCAATCTTCCTGAGAATGTTAAATCTCAAATCCTCTCATAAATGGTTAGAAACTTATGTAAGCTAGGAACCTGAGCAGATTTGGGTTCCTCTTGAGATGTCGACTCACTCATCTGGGCCACTAAAAAATATCACCAAAATAGTATGGAAAACATTACCAGCCCCATATTACTAACAAAAAGAGAAGGAATTCATTTACAACAAAAAATACTCTGGCAGATCAAAATCTCCCTTATGCCCACCCCCGCTGCACCCCATCATTCTATTGAATGGCAGTAAGTTCTCAACTGCCAAACTTTAAACTGTACTACTGTTATTACTGTTGTTACTGAGCAGAGGTAGATCAGTGCTAAGCTAGTACCCACAGAGATCAGAAAACTTGCCTTACTAATCATCCGATTATCATTAAAGAAAACTTAGCAAGTTATACAATTTAGTTATTTAACATTTTTATCATCCTTATTAATTTTTCAAACAATAGAGGTAGGTAAAGTGAAACTTTAGTGACTACCAAATTTATGTGAGAAAGGTAGCTAGATGATAGAATAATCCTCTCCCTAAAATGCATTTTTTCGGGTGTGGGGGAGAGTTCCGGGAAGAACAATTTATCTGGTTTATTTATTCATACCAAGGAATTAAAACAGATAATTACCAGATCCCCGCTTCACTGCAAATATTTGTAGACTGAGTCACAGATGCTCAAATCACTGCTGTGCCCCAAATCATTTAAGAGTCTGTGCATATATAGGCTAAGTGCTGTGTAGAGAGTAAATTATACACACATGATCTCTGGCCCTAGGGCAGTTACCATCTAGGGACACTTTAATTTTTAGCAGTATGCATATAACACGCTAGAGTATTCATTTTTCTTTATCAATGTAACACATATTCTGGTTGAATAAACCAAAAGTACTGCCTTTGGAGATAATGGATTCCAACACTTAAAAATAGTCTCAAAGCCCTTCTGAAGTAGTTCATAAATAATAAATAATATACTAGATTAATTTCTGTGACAGGCCTCGACTGTATATTCTCACAGCTTGCTTTCTTTGCTTATGGTGTCTACCTCCTGAAATTGCTGAGAAACTGCCTTCCATTTCTTTTAGTCTGCTTTGTTTGGATGAACCCAGATAAATTCAAATAAAAAAACCTTTACTGGGGGGCTGCTGGTAGTGTGGTGGTTAAGGTAGCTAGATCCCATGTGGCTGATGGCATGATTTAAGGCCCAGATCCTGCGGCTTGAAAAACATCCCTGGTGGGATGAGCAGTTAGCGTAATGGCTATGTCACTGGACTCCCACGTAGTCGACCGTGGTTCAAGTCCCGGACCTGGTGGCTTAAACTCACGCTGGGTGCATGTGCATGCATGCCCAAGATCCCGAGAGGAGAATGGAGGAGAAGGGATTGTGGTGTGGCCATCCCCCCTGGGGGGGGGGTGATTTCTTGCTTTCTGTCTCTCTGTCTCTGTCTATCTGGCGAGCGCATGCACCCTATAGCAAAAACCTCTCCAAGAAAAGAAAAACAAAAGAAAAGGAAAAAAAAGAAAGAAAGAAAAACATCCCTGGTGCACACCCGTGTGTGCCCCAAATCCCAAAGGACAAATAGAGGAGAAAGGGATGTGGTCAACCCCCCAGGGAGGGAGACGCCTTTTCACTTTCCTCCCCTCTCTGTCTCCCTCCAACAAGAGCACATATTCTCTCTAGCAAAAACAAAAACAAACCTCCCCCCCCCAAAAAAATTAAAAGAAACAAGAAACCTTTATTGGATGCCTTTCATATGCACATAGATGTTGGGGTAAAAAAAAAATGAATAAGACTTGCCTTTGAAGAATTCACAATTTAGTGAGGGAAGAAGATGCGATTCAATCTGCAAAGTTCAAGAGTAGAGGTACATAGAAAATGTTAAGCAACAAAGAGGAATAAGCAACTTTCCAAGGGCAGTCAGGGAAGTTTTCAGAGAAATAGATTTCCAAGCTGTATTTTAAAGAACTAGTAAGATATTTTTGTACAAAAGAGAGGGAAAGGTATTTGAGGCAGAAAGAACAACAAAAGTGTATGAAAGTTCAAAACGTTTGAAGCATTCATATACTAGAACATAGTTACGTAAAATAAAGTGACAGAAGATGAGGCTAAAAAGGTAACTACAGTTAATCTGTAAAGAATTATTCATGCTAAATCAAGGAGTTGCACTTTATTCTGTGCTTTTTAAGTGTAGGACAGATGCTATCAAATTGGCGTTTCTAAAAAAGTTAACCAGCAACATAGAGGATGGACTGGAAGTGTGAAGGACTGGGGGAAGAGAGAATGACAGTAAACGTTGAATCTTAAATGTTGCATCTGAGTTGAATGCTTCACTGCCCCTCACTCTGGTGTAGGCTTTGCCAGACATTGTCAGTATCCCAACCATATTCCTTCAAGTTCACCCTTTTAGAACATGCAGATGGTGTCTGTAATCCTGTCTAAGGGCTTGCTGTAAACCCAAATGTGGTGACAGGCCAGAATGCTTGAGAAGTAATATCTGTAGGAGAGGCTCTCAGCCAATGATGGTAGGGAGTAGCAGACAGTACTAAGGGCAAGACTGTTTTTGGTTTTTTTTGGTAGAAGTTTTTGTCTTAGGGTGTGTGTACTCCCCAGAGAGAGAGAGAGAGACAAAGACAGTGAGAAGGGGGGATGGCCACACCTTAATCCCTTTTCCTCCGTTTTCCTCCCAGGATCTTAGGCACAACGCACATGAACCCAGTGTGAGTTTAAAGCCATAGGGCCCAGGACTCCAACTAGGGTTGGCCATGTGCCAGTCCAGCAATATGAGTGCTACGCCATCTGCTGGCCCCAGGATAAGACACTTCTTAAGGTCTATTTTATACGCCTTTTCGCCAAGATGGCACCAAAAGCGAAGAAGGAAGCTCCTGCCCCTCCAAAAGCTGAAGCTAAAGTGAAGGCTTTGAAGGCCAAGAGGGCAGTGCTGAAAGGCATCCACAGCCACAAAAAGAAAAGAAGATCCGTACATCACCCACCTTCTGGAGGCCCAAGACTCTCAGGCTGCAGAGGCAGCCTAAATATCCTTGGAAGAGTGCCCCCAGGAGATACAAGCTTGACCACTATGCCATCATCAAGTTCCCCCTGACAATCGAGTCTGCCATGAAGAAGGTAGAGGACAACAACATCATCATGGATGCCAAGGCCAACAAGTACCAGGTCAAACAGGCTGTGAAGAAGCTCTATGATATTGGAACCAGCAGTTAGCGTAATGGCTATGTCACTGGACTCCCACGTAGTTGACCGCAGTTCGCGTCCCAGACCTGGTGGCTTAAAACTCACGCCGGGCGCGTGTGCGTGTGTGCCCAAGATCCTGAGAGGAAAATGGTGGAGAAGGGATTACGGCGTGGCCATCCCCCCTGGGGGGTGATTTCTCGCTTTCTGTCTCTATGTCTCGCAGGCGCCCTATAGTGAAAACCTCTCAAAAAAAAAAAAAAAGGTAAAAAAAAATAAATAAATAAAAGAAGCTCTATGATATTGATGTGGCCAAGGTCAACACTCTAATCAGGCCTGATGGAGAGAAGAAGGCGTATGTGCAACTGGCTCCTGATTATGATGCTTTGGATGTTGCCAACAAAATTGGGATCATCTAAAGCAAGTCCAGTTGGCTAATTCTAAATACACACACTTTTCCACCATTAAAAAAAAAAAAGGTATATTTTATACTATCTCCCCGAGTTGATGCTTACAATTGCCCACAGTGTAATTTGCCCCATCATGCATTTGTTTGGCTTCCTTCACTGCGCTGGATTACTTCTCTACTCTCTTACGATCGTTTCCTGGAACCATCTCCCAAATGAATTTGCCCTCAATCCTTAGATAAAGGTCTTTTCCCTGAGAAACTAAACTAAAACAGATTAGGATTAGAGTTAAAAACTGACCTAAGGAGTGAAAGAGAAGTAATGGAGACTCATTAAGTGTTCTTCTCTTATTTGGAAGGTTGAATGATTGATGATGCCATTAAGTTGAATTAAAAAACAGAAAAGGGGCCAGCAGGTGGTGTGGTAGTTAAAGCTCTGGATCCCACATGGCTGATTGCATAGTTTGGGTCCTGGACCCAGTAGCTTAAAAATAAATGAAAGAAGAAGAAAAGAGAGAAAAACAGGTTTGGAAAATGATACAATGAATTTGAGTTTAGACCTTTAAGACACTTCCTCAGTGGCCTACTACAAAATTCCACTAGAAGTCTAAAGGCTATTGAAATTATACTATGATCCACTGGTAAAAAATTATGCAGAAATCAAGTCCTCTGGAAAATAATGAAGACGTTGTCCAGTCAGAACAGCATTATCTTATATTTTAAATTACTCAAAGTACACAAAATTCTGCACACCTCATACTCCCACCCAGACATCCTAGAGTCCTTCCACTTAGATTACTATGAGACGGAGTGTCTATGAATCTATTTAAGAATGCTCCACACTCGGGGAACAGTGTAGGAAAGGAAATTTGGGGCGGGGGGAATGGAGAGGAAAGGCATTTGTGGGATGCTCATATGGTTTATTATTTGTTGATGAGGACGTCCATATGTTCTCAACTGGGCTGGACTGAGGTGTGTGTCATGCTGGGTAAAGTCTCTTTACAATCTAAATGATGTATAGTGATTAAATGTATAAATAATAATTAAAATTAATAAATAAAAATTATTAAAAAGAAGAACTCTCCACATTCACTCTCAATAGAATTGTAACTTAGTGAACTTTAGCATTTGCATCTTGGTTTGCATGACTCATGACACAGAGAAGTCAATTATCCTTGAGGAAGATAAGAGAGAAATCACAAGTTATCTGTTTTTACAGACTAGTAGAGGTTAAAAACTGTCCTTTACCTATATTTCTTTTGAATCTTGAATGCCTGATACTGATATCAGGACGAATTTGTAGGAGAACACTAGTGGAACTCACCCAAAGACACCAGATAGGAGGAGGAAAAAAGGCTGACCACAAACTCTTAGTAACAAAAATAGAGCTGAGAAAAAGTAGCCAGTAAAGATACTAATAACCATTGAAACTTATAGAGGAACCTGCAGAGCTTCCAAGCCCTCTCTGGATGTGTCACTCTCCCAACACCTCCACATGTTCAAAAACCCTGTAAATTCTCTGAACCCTGTCCTTTCGAGTAAGAATAAAATGAAAGAATTAAAAAAAAAAATCTATAAGAAGATAGGAAAAGAATAAGAGTATCATCAAGAGCAGATGGAACAACCCACGCATATTGATA